TTTTTTTTTTTTTTTTTTGAGTTTTCGACTTTGTTGTTCTGGTGTCACGAGCGATTTTAAACGAAATTAAAGTGTTAGAGGATAAAACGAGGCACGACCGTAATGCAGCAGAGAATTTCAAATAGTACAAGAATTCATATTTGTCAAAATATCGGATTTATAAGCTCGCGAACACGATATACGGATGCTTCGAGCTCTATATCAGTCGTGAGTACGTGATTCTTCGTACAGAGGATTTCGAATACGTAGAATGCAAAGGAATCGACTCGAAATGCTCAAAACTCGATATCGAGAACGGCTGCGGGAAAAAGTGAACGGAAACTTGTGAGATTTAATACGGTTCTCTTTTAGACAAAAATGACACACGGATAATGTCGCTTAACACATATTTTGGAAAGCGAGGCTCCAATTCCAAAAAATTTAAAATTTCAGTCTATTTAAAAAAAAAGAGAGAGAAAAAAAAGAACTTCTTCCGAGAGTCGCCAAGATTCAAAGATCCTCGAAATCTTTAGATCTTCGAGACTTCCGTAGTTACCGAGATTCCAGGTTTTCTCGTAGGTTTATGTATATCTCGCGGTGGGGTTATGTAGATTACAGGATCTCCATGGCGGCCAGAATATTAAGATGTACGCCTGAGTTCCCATGACACGAAGATCGATACAGTCGTAACGTTCCTCCGTTATCGAAGTTGTTATAGTCCTAGAATACTCATAACATCGTGTCTCAAGATTCCTGTGGCACCGAGATTATCAAAATCTCAAGGTCGAAGTTTTGGTTAAGTTCGAAGTCAAAGGTCGCAGGATCTCAAAGATTGAAACTCTCTTATAAAAGTTATCGATGATCTTTAGAAGATTCAGTTCTCGGCCTGTTAAGATTTTATGCGTCTTTATGGTCTCTAATCTTATCTTCTCTAACAGAAGCCCGTCAATGTATCGCGTGTTTCGATAGTTTCGGAATTCCCAAGCTGCAATGAATTTGATGATTCCACGAGCTGACGGATTCGATGTTTTCCACGTGGGTATGGATCAAAATGTTTACAGGGATTATTCGAGTTCCTTAAGTTACTTCCATCGTTTCGGAGTTTTAAACCCTCCCGGCACTTTCCTCATTTTCCGTGATTTCTCGAATCGACGAGTCGACTGTATCGGATCCTACGAGCCTGAGGCTACATTTACCGAGTTCTTACGCATCCACGGTTATTACTATCGAACTTCCGTACATAAGAGTCGTCTATATCGTCTCTCACGTGTCTGAACTGCTGCGTGTTATCGAGTCTCATGGCTCAAATATCGTAGATATTTAATTCCCGCGTATCAGAAATAACTGACTCATATTTTATAAATCATTAATTTTAATTCTGCCGCGAATTATCGAATTCTCGTGTTCTAGTTTTGTTTCAGTCACGTTTCAATAAGCAAAAAGACTTTATACTTAATATTGAGATGATTCTTTTGTAATTTCAAGTTAAAACAAAGGAACTTTTTTAATAGAAAAATCAGTGGAGTTGAAAGTGATCCAAATGCGTCTCGACAAGATTAAGTCCGTTTACATTGAAAAATAGAAACGTTAATTTTGCTTAACCGATACGAAAGACATAACAATGTATTTCTACATACACGACGGAAATATTCATCGGGAAAGAGTTATTTTCGCCGTTCATTTTCATCGAGGACCCGATATTTCAAACTCTTATCAAGTTTGTGAAAGAGAAAAATCGTGCGACAAATTTCAAGGGGGAACTTCTTAATCTTGAAGACCAACGATGGGTTTAGTTGCGAAAAAGATCGTCCATAAAGACGTTGTTCGAATTCGCGCAAAAGCTTTCGAGAGCAGAAGAGCAAATCAAGTCTCTTGCTAAAATTAAATTCTCCTCTTTGCAACTGTCCTTTTAAAATTTGTGGCGCGATTTTCTTCGCGAAACTAGATAAAAGTTTAAAGCACGATCTCTCGACGATCTTTCGTCGAGGGTGCGGGAACTCTTCGGAACGTAGCTACGTAGTACACGAGGTGTATGTATATTTTAACGAAAGGCTGTGCGCATCACAGCTGGGATATATGTATGGTGTTTCCATGGACGAAACAAGTGGCGGCCGGTACATTGGATTAGAGAAACCGGCTCGGCGATACCAAGTGGTGTGTTGCCACGGCGCAGTACAACGCGCCGGTGTATTTGCGCGGCGCTGCGATCGAGACGCCAGTACACCGCGCGCCGTCGTCTCGTCTGCATGTCGCGTTGTTCCGTTACGTTCGCTTATCGCTCGTATCAACGTGTTCCTCTTCGCCTTTCTGCGCATCACTCCGCGCGCATTTTGTTTACCAGCCACCCTGGAAATCCTCGGCACCTGACACGGTACGTCACTGTTTCTATCCATCCATCCATTCTCTCACCCCTTTCGTTGCCCTTTCGTGGACGTCCCTTGGCGCACGAATCGAATCGTGCCGGACCCAGGGTGAAAGCTCTTTTTAAATTGCTAAAATGCAACAACGGTGATCGAATCTCGACGACGATCCGTGGTATATTTCTCAGTGAGTAAAGGTCGAGCTGCCGACCCTCTGGTTTCCAGCCGATTGTTGTTGAAAAATGTCGTTCGGTTCGCACGATTCTAAACGATGGTACACAGGTAGTTCGCGTATCGATTTATCGTCTCACCTGGTCG